GCTCCAAGTTTGCTTGCTTGTTTGTTCAATTTGGCGAAGCTCTAAACAAATATTTATGTACCTCTACAAAATGATATTTGCAGACACATCAAAATCACATCAATTTAATCACATTTACATTGAAGTTGCGCGCCTAATGATGATTACCAACGCCAAATGCGAGTAATAACAGCGCGCCAGCCATGGCGCATGTGCGCGCCAAGCTAAATACTCGCAGTTGTACGTTTGTTTATACAGAGCCACACAATTGTACATACATACATACATACATACATATTGTTGTGATTAAACTTAATGAGCCTTAAAAGTGAATAGTCTTGCTAGCACAAATGCGAACATACTACGTACGTAAATACATATGAATATATGAACAAACAAATATACATACAGACGACTATTTTATTTTTCTACACTCCTTACAAACTTACAAGATAATTTGTCAGTGTGAAATAATTATATGATNATACATACATATGGATATATGAACAAACAAATATACATACATACAGACGACTATTTTATTTTTCTACTCTCCTTACAAACTTACAAGATAATTTGTCAGTGTGAAATAATTATATGATTTTAAGGCAAGAGAAATACTTATTAAAAAAGCGCTTCAAAAATGTGCAAGCAGAGAGTACTTGCTCCGAATGGCGTGTGCTATAACTGTGCGTGTATTGGGTACAAACATATGCATATACATACATACTTTTGTACATTTGGTAGTGTCATTAGTTGCAAGCCAAATCGACGTGATTTAAATCAATTAAATGCGAAAAAATGCACAAACCTACACGTCTGCACGCTGTCAATTCGCATTACACACAATGTCTGTAATTAAAATGTGATCAAGCTCCTGCAAGCCTGGCTGCAGCGGTGGCTGCTGTTAATACCACTGGAAATATGCAGTGTCGCAACAGCAACCCAGCAACCGCCTCTGTACGCTGTCGAGCATTTATGTATCGATGAAATATATGTACATATATATATGAATGTATGTATATAAGTATACATATGTATGTGCCAAGTTTCTCCATCACATTAAATTCATTTGTTTGTTTGTAAACCTCTTTTGGGACGCGTGAACTCAAGCGAGCTTATTACATACCAAGTTTATAACACATTTTTTCACGCCTAACTAATATCAACACAACACAACACAACACAACACAACACAACACAACGCAAAGGCCAAGTCGCTACATTAAAGCTAAGTAGGCTCCAAAAGCTGTCAAAATTAATTGATTTAGAAGTGTTGAAATATTGTTGTTGAATATAAACAAATGAGCAAGCACGCTCAAACAGAAGACGCCACAGGAATTCTTGCTTACTCTTGTACACTTCAAGTGCTTGCATTTAGAATTTGTGTGTCTAAAATTCGATTGAAAAATCATTGAAATTTTTTATGAGATATGTACATACATACGTACGTACATGTATATACTGCATAAATATTAAAATACTGATTCAGACTTTACCCGAAGTTTTCAACTCCATATTGTTTACGGCTTGCTTGAGTTTTGTAAAAATAAAAGAAGAATTTGAAATACATATCGAGCCCTAACCGCCAAAAAAACGTAAGCGAAATATTTTTCAAAAATTTTCTTTTTGATGCATATTGCTTTAATCTTTTTCTTAGTTTTGTATTAAAATATGGCTTATATTTTAGCAAAACCACATTTAAATCCAAGAATGAAACAGCGGACGAAAATTAAGAAAAATCTGCGCAAAGTTTAAGCAAAATCGCGAACTCTTTAATACGAATTTCTATAAAGAATTCCGGTATGCAGTTTTATAGCCCATCAAATTTGAGTATAATAATGTGCAAGCTTCAAATGTCTAAGAAAATTTTCAGATTTTTTTTTTTATATGAAAAAATGCGAAGGACAGCCGGCAAAAAAGGTCTTAAAAATCAGCGGGAATTTTATTTTTATAAAAAAGAGACGTACGCTTAATTTTGGGAGTAACAGTGCATTTATTTTAGAAATGTTTATTTTAAAAGTAAAAAGAGAAAAACTTTGAACTAGTTACATTATATGAAAAATTTGTACTTGGAATATTTAACTATTTTCTTCTTTCGAGTTTTTAACTCACAAAGCTTTAATCTCTATAGAAATCATGATTTTCGAAATTTTTTTTCCATTTTTAGTCAGCTTCCCAGCTGGCCGAATAGTAAGTAGCTTGTTTTGCTCTGCCCCGCGCACTTGGGACATTTGACATGAATTGCACCATGTGTATATACATATGGATTAGGGGGCTTCTTAAAATATCAACATCGAAATCTTGTAAATATTTCGAAGACAATTTAAAATTTTTTAAATAATATTTACGGGTTGGAAAGTATTAAAATTCGATGAAATATTTCAATCGTTTTCATTGAAAAAACTAAATAAATGTTTCTTGAGCTCAGGAACTCCATATTAACTCTCCGTTATATATGTATTTCTTCGTAGTTTTCAAGATAATTATATGTAATGCGGTGTTGTTTGGAACATATTATATATTCAAATACCCATGTACTTTATACGCAAATACACATACTTGTTTAATTGAGGTGGAATGTTTATTTAATAACCCGTCGGCTTTTCTCTTGAATGCAAGATATTTGTATACAAAAACAAAAACACGGATTCATACATATATACATATGTACATACATGCATACGCATAAAAAAATACAACTAAGAAACACATCAAATTGGGCAAGATCGAAAGCATCAAGGACCGAAATCAGAGGCCTACAAAGTGCCAGCCTTAAAGGAAAAATAATTGGCAAATATTTGATTAGGGAATCGTAATGATCCTCATCATAGGTAACATGTATACATATGTATGTATGTACATGCATAGCCAGCCTCATAGCTAGTTGATGCATAATGATGCATTTTTCACTTTGTTTTTTTTTGTTATTGTGAAATGCTATGTGATTGCTTATAAATAACAAATTCCTCAAAGACCTATCGAACATTTTCTACCGCTAAGCACAATAATCGTGCGCATTAGTAACCAGCTAAGCTCATACATATGTACATACATACATGTTTGCTGTACTCTATTTGTTTACCATTCAAACAGAAATTAAAAACTGATTGCACTTTACATAGCCGCTGCAATGCAACAACGCTGCATCAAGCAAACATTTGCATGCCGCTGCCATTCTAAAATACATAAACGAAAACCAATAAGGCAGTAGACCATAGCGCAAACAGTAAAAGAGTATCGTCATCGTCCGCGGCGGCCGGCGGCCGGCGGCGAACAGTCGACGTTCTGACCTCTTCAGCGGCTAGACCGAGAGGAGCGGCCACCAACTTTGGCACTTGAATACTAGCTATGTATTTACACATGTACATACATATAGGCCTACATATAAACAAACATAGTTAAACAAATAATGAAATCCATCAGCAAGCAAACGTTAAGACAAAAGCAATTCGAAGCACTTGCCACCATGAACGCTTAAGCAGTTAGCGAAAAAGCAGCGAACTATACAACACTCGTGTGGAATCAGTGTGTCTTGCAAAGTTGGAGACAGGTGCATCATACATACATACATATGTATAGGTGTGTGCGTTTGTGCATGATCGTAAGTGCGTAAACCTTTTGCCATCAGCGCCACCTTTTGTCAGCGACGTGTTGCATTTATTAATAATATTTTCACTTTGGCCAGTGATACGCTTTTGTGCTCATTAGCAGTTGACCGGACCACTATAATCTACCGCGACTCATTCATTGTGCGCCGCTTTCGAGTGCTTGCATCATCTATGTATCTTGGTGATGTTTTTAAGCGAGCGATACTTGAATGTGCGTTGTACGAGGACTTAAGTGCATTACATTTGCATAAATATTTTTATTTTTTTTTTTTTGGTTTTATTTTCTCTTAACTGACAATGCGACCATGCGTTTGGACACTTAGATGGTTAAGCCTTTTAATAATGTACATAAGTGATGTCTCAAGCGACTTGACAACTGTTTAGGTGATTTAAGAAAAAACAAGTGCCACTCTAAAGTATGCATAATGTGAGCATGTATGACACGGAGTTACAAATATTGATATCCTATATTAAAACATGTGTATGTGTGTATCTAAATAGGATGGAATTTAGAATTAAATATGAGCACACAGAGCTGGGTAAATGCAATTACATTACAATTATAATTACATTCCTCAGTAATTGTAATTAGGTTCAATTCCTTTAGTTCCCTGCAAAGGAATCGATTACTTTTTCAATTCCTTGAAGTAATTTCAAATGGAATTGTTTTTTTCTTTAATTCCATTACAAGGAATTTCATATTGTAATTGGAATAAATTACGTGCTAGTAATGTAATTTCTTTTATTTCAATTCCTTTGAAAGGAATTGAAAATGTAATTTTTTTTCCCAATTCCTTTGAAAGGAATTGAAAATGTAATTGATTTTTTTTCCAATTCCATTCCTCAAAGTAATTTAAAAAGTAATCGAAAAATTCATAAAAAAAAATTTTTTACCGTTGAATTGCAATAGCTTTGTTAAATTTCCTGCTAGTATTTCATACAAAAAATTATTGCACTTTCACTTAACCCTTGCAAACTTGTTTATTTATCCATCGATTTTCATCGGTAGTAGTGTTTTAACCCGCAAAACAAGCAGAGTTTGGCTAGTCTATACTAATATATATTTTGAAAGGCGTTTTTTTCTGTTCGCAAAGCTCGAGAAAGGCCGTACCGATTTTTTTGAAATTTCGGAATCTACTGCAGACTTTCCAAGGATGGTTATAGCTAAAAAAAGTTTCGATATAGAAAGGGGGCGTGGCACCTCCCATACAAACCGAATTTTTCAAACTGCATATATTTGTGGTAGAGGACTAGAACTGGGTATGGTGATATCTATATACATATATAAGACCAATTCCATACTCATGGAGAAAAATTTGCATGGTTGGAGAATGGCGTGTGGCACCTCCCATATAAACCGAACTTTTCATATTGCATATTTCTGGAAGTGTTCATGGTAGACTGTAAGCCTTTTTAAAACTCTTTAGTTAGACACCCACATGCCAACATTGCATTTACTTTATCAATTTAACTGAGTTACAATTTCCAAATAGGTGGCAGCCCCCTTGCAGCCCCCTCCAACAGTTATCTTTCTCAAACCTTTTTAATTTGATACCCATATTGTAATATTTTATTTATTTTATCAATGTAATTTAGTTAAATTTTCAAACAGATGGCAACCCTCCTCAAACATATTTTCGGCAGTAAGCCTTCTTAAAACTCTTTAGTTTGACACCCACATGGCAATATTTCATTTTTTTTAACAATTTGACTGAGTTTAAATTTTCAAATAGGAGGCCACCCTCGTCAAAAATACTTCCAGCAGTTATCTTTCTTAAACCTCTTTAACTTAATACCCATATTGTAATAATTCATTGATTTTAAATTAATTAAATTTTAAAATAGGTGGCAACCCACCAAATTTTTGCGATATCATTGGTTCTGGTATTATACCGAATAATAAAAAAAATATTATTCAAATCGGTTCAGCCGTTCTCGGGTTTTGATGACCGTGACATACGAACACAACATTTATATATATATATAGATATACATAGAAGATGTCCAATGTGTGCTTTCGATTTTAATCTTTGACCACAACAAAAATTCCACATTGTATATTCGTGAATGAACTTTCAGTTTCTCGATTACTTTTACAATTCCTTTGAGTAATTGGAAAAACTAAAGTACCATTGCAATTCCAGGTAATGGAATTGAAAAAAAATCAATTACATTTTCAATTCCTTTCAAAGGAATTGGAAAAAAAAAATTACATTACTAGCACGTAATTTATTCCAATTACAATATGAAATTCCTTGTAATGGAATTAAAGAAAAACCCAATTACATTTGAAATTACTTCAAGGAATTGAAAAAGTAATCGATTCCTTTGCTGTGGACTGAAGGAATTGATTCCTAATTACAATTCCTTGTAATCTGTAATTGGGAGTAATTTAATTCCTAAAGGAATCGTTACGACCCAGCTCTGTGAGCACATATGATCTGGATAAACTTGGGAATGCAAATGACTTAAAAGTTTTCTTAACTGGCATTGGGTACATTCAATCTACTTATTCGGCAAGTAAGAATTGCTAGTTATTGATTTTAATTGAACTGAAATTTTTTTACAAACTCCGCATTTTGGTATGAAATAAAATACATATATAAATAAATATTTTTTTCCTATGCGTGTAAAGAATAATAACGTGTAATTCTTAGCGAAATCGCCGCAGAAATCATGGTTCTATAATTAATTTATAGTTTGCCTAATAGCGAAAACAAAATTTCGAAGAAAATGTTAAAATTGCCCTGTTGCGCTCCCAGGTGGAAGTTTTAGCAAAAAGACGAGTGCAGAATTGGATTCCTCGTACCGAAAAACCCCTTAAGAAATTCTTTACGACACTACCGAAAACCTATTTTCGCAGTTTGGCAAACTCCTAATGGATTTTAGACCCATGGTTTCTTCAGTAAATTAGGTTAGAATTACGTGTAGAATTCTTCAGTGCTATACGCTTATATTTAGTCCAAAAAATTTCCCATACAAATTGGTGCGCCTTAATCTGTAACCATTAGGCCAGTGCCGGCCACACGAATACTAAAACAACTGCGTGAAAGTGTGTGGCAACTAACTTCGTGCATATACATCGTTAGCGCCGATGTGAAAGCACGAAAACGAAACTGTATAATGTGCACGTTTTAGCCGGCACTGCATTAGTCTGTCCCAAAAAAAAATCAAAGTTGTCCTTTTCTAATGCATATCCCCTCATTTTATTGGTTTTGTCTTAAAAACTATCCGAATAAAATTGTATGCAATCTTAATACTTTTCCGAAATATAATAAATTATATAATCCCGGTAAAAACCAGAAGCAAATTTTTTGTATGGCGAATGATGCATCCTAATATGCATACATACATATGTTTATACACATACAAGTTATTAAACATCCTTATTTCTACACATAACGCAAAAATCCAAAAAGTCGAAACTAATTCAAAAATCCATTGCACAGTCAATTTCCTCTACAGTCGCATGTTGATATTTCCTTTGCAAAACAATAGACTTAAGTCACGAACCTGCAATGGGGTTCGGCTTCTATTCTCTTTAAAAACCAACACAAACTCATGCAAATAGCTGAGCGAGACAATATTAATTTTCTACACTTTGCATGCCGCATTAAAACCGCATAAATAACGGCAATTTGCTACACCTACTATAAACAGTTTGGTTTCTACATACATTGAATTTTCAAAAACTGCACAAGCGACGCAATCAATGCTTACAATACATTTTGATGTGCATGTATGTATGTATGCAGCAAAAATTTCAAACAGTTTTATCATACATACACTACAAACAAATAAACAAAAATGGCATATATGACAGAATTTTCGAACTGTGAAATCCTTTAGAATGTCATTGCAATAAGGTGCACAAAATCGATTTTACGCACTCTCCGCTCCACTGCGTGCCAATAACACCGCAACTGTTGATGGTGAACTATATTTGCAAACGCGCACTGCACCAAAGAATAGCACAAACCAAACGCCTACCAAATGCTGACGCACAGTGTGTCATCGCATAGCCATTGATAATTGATTTTGTGGTCGAATGCCGATGGGCAATTGTACTGACACAAAGTATATGCGACAGCAGATTTTACAATTTTTTAGCAGAAATAAGAGATACATAAACAGCTGTTTTCAACCACTCTTGCCATGCTATTCATTTTTTTTTTGTTCAAAATTTTCTTAGTTCATATTCAGTTGTCGACGACGTTCCTGAAAACTCTCTATGGCTGCAAGATATTTCACTCATTGCTGCAATTTAAATGCAAATATAAAATTTCAAACTCCTCATATAAGAAAATATTGACTAAATGCGCGGCAAAGCCTTTGAATCCTTTTTCCAACCCCACCCTCGTAGAGAACAAATGCCAGTTCACAGGTAAATACAAGCCTATTTACTTAATCATTCGTGCCATAAGTGCTGTTTTATATGTATGTACGTCATATATGAATGGTAGTTTGTCTGCGCCGATATTAATGCACAAATTCACCTACCACAATCATAGAAGATTCTTTTTATACACCCCGGCAAAAATCAATATTTGCATTTCGACCTTTCGCAATCGAGCAGAACGAGGCATTTGCTCGATGTTGATGGCTTTGAACGTTCGATAGAGGTTGTGCGTTTAAATAAACACCTTCGTATTTGCTTCGTAACTGACAGCACAAAAAAAAATGGGAAAATTGATTTTTAATACAACTTCTTATATTTTCTTTTATTTATTTTGGTCCATTGTTGAAATAACGAGAGGCAACAACGGCTTATGCATATATGTATGCGTACGATACCTATGTAAATGTTGAAATGTTTGCATAGCGCAACAGGTTCAAAATAAGTTTTCTAAATTCCATAACATCTAATGGAATGTGTACATAAGCCGGTAAATAGTACTGAATTTATATATTGTATATGTATACAAAGCACAGTAATGAAGACAACTGCAACATTGATGGAAATAAATATATGTATACATAAGAGAGAAGGGCTGTTGCTTAAGATCAAGCCGATATTTATTTAAATACCTTTTTGAAAAAGTATTCACTTATTAGTTTTTTCTAAATAGAAGGCTAGAAGATTTGCGTGTTTAAGAGCAATGCAAAAAATTCGAGGCTCATATTAGGTGTAGCGTCCAATAGAGTTAAATGTATGCAATCGCTAGCTTAGAGTAAAAAGTTGCTAAATGTATGCAATATATGGCACGTGAATACATACATACATACATATCGAGGGTTTATAGTTATTCAATATCCTCTATCTGCAATTTTAACAAAAACTTCTTTGTGATGTTAGAACCCATCTGTCCACACTGATTTTAATTCTGACCTTGCAATTTAATAGTAAATTCTTTTGTCAAGCGTTATACAAGGTCAGCATTAATGTCACCGATGACAGTCAAGTCTGAGGTGTATTTTTGTATGAGAAACTCATTTTTGTGAAAAAAGCAGATAGAGGGTGGGTGTACCACAATGTGCCCAAAATCAAAATGCTCAAACTCAAAATCCCCCAAATCAAAATCCACATTTTCGGTGTGAAATACATTCAAATTAGATTTAAAATCGCGTGAATTTCTTTCACACAGAAAATGATGATTCTATAATCGCGTTATTTCTCAAATTGAAAATGAAATGAAAATTATAGAAAATGTAATGCATCCCAATAACTTGGGAATATATTTTGCATGCGAATCGTGTAAATCGGGTGTATGTATGTAACTACGAATCAGAACAGAGGTAAGAGTCGGCTTGCGCTATTGTTTATATGATCGGTAATATCATTTATTCAAAAGTTTGGGGATATCGTGTTTGGGGATTTTATTTTTGGGGATAATGTATTTGGGGATCTTTTTGAAACCTGGGATTTTTTGTTTGTGGATTTTGTTTTCGGCATGCATAGTTGATTAGTTTTCGCATACCTGGTATGTCATACTACGGGCTTAATGAGCATAGTAACATTTTCTGAATTGTTCTATCGAAGACTCAGATTTCCATCGAAGCTTTAAAAGCTCATAACCATTGAAAAGGGCCACGATTCGAAAATTTGCAGTTTTTTGTTTTAATAAAAATGATCTCTGTAAAATGCTTACATTTTTTATTATGATAAGTTCCATAAACGTCTCGCTGTCAGTAATGTCCGAAGTCAAAAGCCCAGACGAAATCTAGCGCCAAAATGAATAAATGAAATATTAGCAATGAACAGCTATAGCTGTCAAATCGAAACAAAACGTCGGATTGTTCGAATTGAAAACTTCAAGAAAGGACTGACTCCATTTCCTTTTAACTTTATAAATACAAAATATTTATTTTATTTAATCCTGCCGTCGGAGTACCGTCGTATTTCTGGCTTCTTCCGTTCTCTTGCGGAATATGCTCAAATATTCAGTGTTCTTTAGTAGTAGCAGTGATGGCCAACCAGTGACTAGTGACCTAAAATCCTTTTATTCACAATGGGAAAAGTATTTATATGTATGTATATCATTTTAGGGGGATTGCTTGCAAAAAATATATGTCTATATAAGTAAATTGGGCATATATATGTATGTATATATGACTTTGTTTCTAAAATTAAATATACCTATGAGGACAGGATGAGGAATGATGAAAAAACCATTTTATTATTATTACCAACATTTCTTGAAAGCAGTCGCCAATAATGATTTTCTATTTGATTTCAGCGATGTAAAGAGAAACTCAACATTCTCGCGGTTTCTGTGATGAATCAATGGCCCGGTGTACGGTTACGTGTCACCGAAAGTTGGGACGAGGACAATGCTCATCATACCGACTCGTTGCATTATGAGGGTCGTGCTGTCGATATAACAACTTCCGATCGTGATCGCACCAAATATGGTATGCTGGCGCGTCTCGCTGTAGAAGCAGGTTTCGATTGGGTCTACTATGAGAGTCGAGCGCATATACACTGTTCGGTGAAATCAGGTGAGCATCAAATTTGTGTTACAGAAAAAATGTATTATGTATATACATTAGGGTGCATCACTCTCTCTAAGCAAAATAAAATCGGTACTGTTTTTTCATCGGAATTAGAAAATTCATTATATTCTAACACCCAAATTCACAAAAAATAAAGATGACTTTAAATCAGATGTGGCCAGCGAAAGCTTTTATTTTGTGTCTGCCCTATTTATAAAAATTTTACAGAGAGCTTTTGAAGGTTGTGGCACGCGTGCCTATGAAGTGGACAACTGTGCTTTAAATGTTTTTTAAATCGAAAATTTTAATAAAAATGTCAGTTTATAACGCTTTAACCTAAGACACCCGACAAAATATTTCACAAAGATTTACTTGAGCTGAATCAATTTGAATATACATAGTTCCAAAAATTGAGCTTTTTATAAATAGAAAACTTTAAGCTTAGAAGTCCGCATTTATGTATTTGTCATTGTACCAAAAAATTGTTTACGATATAAACACGCATAACAAATTTCTGAAGTAGTTTCTTATGGCGTTTTCGTTTCTACCAAAAAATGTCGCATTTTAAATGCCCCTTCCTCTTTCGTGTTCGATTCTCAAATCAGGGAAAAGTTTAGAAGATTTCGTGTTTGTTTCTTAAAATGTCACACTCTTGTAAGGCGAAAAATGTATATTCACTGCTCTTTGAAGCTTTGTCAGGGGAGATGGTTGCCCTGAAAATCAGATGGTTGCGCAAAACGACAAAATTATGAAATGCTAGACAAGGATAAGAAGGCAAAAACATGCCTTTTTACAGAGTTGGGTGTAACATCAAACACAGTTTACACCATGGAAGAGCAACATTTTTCGGGAGAAACGTAATCACCATTAAACATGAAAACACAAAATTTCGCAAATGAAAAATTATTTTCGTTAAGAAAAAATTATAATACACTGGGTTTTCTTTTAAAAATCACGTCATTTTTGGTATATAGGTTGTTCACCATTTTTACTTAGGATCGAACATAGAATTCGAGTATGCCATATACTTTTTTCGAAATTAAATTACTCCGCCCTAATGCCTAATGATGAGATAAAAGCACTAGTAGGCTGAAAGGTAGAGATCTGAAAAGTTTGGAGTGCAAGTTGTAATGTACAAAATCTGCGTTTTTTTTGTGTGTTTTTAAAAAGTGAATCAAATAAGTATGGGGCATTAGGTTTCTGATGTTTTTACAATTTCTCTTCTATCTAAACTCACTCACGCCCTAGCACTCCGCGTTCGACATAAATTCCTTCCCATAATTGCATTTAGAAACGTACATATATATGTATGTATGTATGTATGTATGTATATCCAAAACTCTAGTGGCCCACAAAAAAAAAACTATACGAACACTAACAAAAAGCAGGACAACAGAGAATAAATAATTTACCTTTAAATGGCTAAAATGTATACAAAAGCGAAAAGCTGAAAATCGGAACGAGATGTGGTAAGTACTACCATGTAGTAGGTGCGTATGCATCCTACTGCTTTGACATGTTTAGGGTTGCGCCTGTCAAATTAAACGAATTGATGATGCGACCTCCGCTGAGTTTCACATGAACGTGTAACGTAACAGCGACGACAATAAGAGCGCGGCTAAGAAGGAGCAAGAAGCCAAAAAGTACGAGTATAAGATAACATGCATAGGTATACGTATGTATGTATGTATGTATGTGCATACAAAAGAGTAGCAGCAGTAATGAGAAATTCGACTGTGGCGGAAGCTGTGCGACATCAGCAGCCACACCATCAACAGGCGAAACAACAGAAATAAAACAACGGCAATAAGCGCAACCACAATAACAATGCTAGGTTGCGGTGGCTATAATACTTATTTAAGCCAAAACAAAGGCGATGCGCACACACACAATTGTACATTCGAATGTCGGCTGCGAACAAAAATACTTTTATATAAAATCAAATGGACTGCTTCAAAATGGAATAAATGCGGTTAGCGCTATAGACGAGAGAGGGCAACTAAAAGGTGCAGTAATAAAAGCAATGTGACAACAAAAGCAAGTTAGCATACGTTTTTTTTTTCTTACTAAATATTTGGTTGCTATTTATTTTTTTGATTTATGTTGGCCTAATATTATGCACAATTTCGGCGTGTGATTTTACAAGCAAATTAACCATAGATAGTGTCAACGGTTACAAAAATTAAAATAATGTCTTAAAAATATCCAAATGGCATGCCGTAAATTTATGTGTGTATGTTAAAATATAAAATCTTTATGAGTACGAAATCGAGATTTTTTCTTTGAAAAAAAATTAAATCAAATACATTTTTAATGCCGCATGTATTGTCGTAGTGCTGGGGCGCCTGTTTATTGTTAAAGCGTCTGTAGGTTGACCCGGAAAAGGTGCCCAATCGCATCTGTTCGCAGTTGAAAAGACGGGCTTCACTTTAACTACTTAAACGAAACTCGAATTGGAAAACTCCAAATGACAGTTCGGCCAACGCAACAGCAGCAGCGGCAGGGCTCATGGTAAAAGATAATTACATATGTATATGTATTCGTATATATAAATATGTATTGCATATACATACTATGTATGTACTACACAGACATGTATGTATATATGTGAGTATATTTTACAACATGTCTGCAAAGCAGGAAGGCTGCGCTCTTATCCGATGGCTCGTACATGTGGGCTAACATATACATATACATACATAACATATACATATATATGAATACGCACTTACACACACGCATCAAACGACGCACTCTAACCAACCAAATCACGTTAACAATTAATTTTCCAAAAGTGCTTAAACTGCCAGAATATGGCCAACAATAGCAATAAAAGCAACACAAAAAAATGAATGCGTAGAAAACAATCAAAAACCGCGCCTGTTTTAATATCAACGAGTGTGAAGAGCCAAACAAAGCCAACGCCAATGGCTAGCACGGAACCGGACCGACCAAGACGGACCAGGTTGGACCGGACTAGTACAAACATATATACATACGAGTATTGGAAAAAAGAGAAAAGTGAATGCTATAACTAAGAAAAAAACGTAAAAGCATCCAGACATGGATTCGTAAAAGACATGCATATGTATGTGTGTATGTGTGAAATGTGTGTGATTGAATTTACCCTGTAGTGAAAAGTCAGACTAGTCGTTAAATAACCGGTATAAGTTGATATAGAAGTCTAGTACAATTCGACGTTTTCCTATCTCCTTCCCGATCTTAAGCCAAGTTGTTTCGCCTTTCGATCGACTGTTCTCCAAGTTTCGCGCGTTAAGCCAGGAGGCCCACTTTCTGCCTATTAAGGGCTTCCATTCCAAGGTCATCTTTACGCAAAGTGTGGCCTAACCACTTCCATTTCTGTCTTCGAATCCATATGCCAAGGAGTTCCATGTTAGCCTTCCTCATTTGAGATTATTTGAAGCCAAAATAATTCGCAGTATCATTCTATGACTAGCAGCGCTTGGTTTTGACTCTCCGGGTATAACTGCCTTATAGCAACGTTGAGAGCACATTGGAATTGAAAAGCCTTTAAGCTGGCACTCAAAATCATTTGAGTTGCCACGCCGCAACGTGTGCATCATTCCAAAGGCCGCTCTGACTTTACTTATTCGCCGGTCAACCGGGAGTAACTTGGCTGCCAATGAAGGTGAAATTCCTCACAGTCTAATGTGAGTTGTGGTAGTTAGCACAAGACATCACTGGCAGTCCTACAACCTTGGTCTTATTAAAGCTGTTTCTCAGGCCGGCCGCTGACCTTCTTTGTATAGCGCGTTGCCCATTTTAGACAGATCAAAAAGATGATGCAACATCCAACTCATTCACAATCATCAAAAGAAATAGAAGAAGTAAAACTCAAATAATGGATCTTTCCGCCTATATCAGTTTCGAGTACGCGTGAAAGTTTAATAGCAGTAATGTATGGAACTGAAATATTTCACTTGAAACATATAATAATAAATTTAAATTCATTTAAAAAAATGTAATTTATGAAAAAAAAAATTTCTCGACCAAAAATTTTTTTAAAATAATTGCAATATAAAAATTAAGTTAATAATTTAAAATATTAAATTTAAATGAAATTACAAAAAAAATTTTCTTATGTCCAAGGACTCGGATTTAAACCAAATTGGTATGGAATCACCTTGGAGATACTACCTTTGCGACAGAAAAAGAATTATCGAAATCGGTTGACGTGGTCCAAAGTTATGCGGTAACATACATACATAAAAAAACACCTTTCTGATGAATTGATAACGTTCTCCTTTGTTTGTAGTCGACTAAAAAAAAAAGAATATCAATACAAGTTGTATTATTCAACTTATTATAAAGTTATTATTAAGTTGTATTATACAACATAAATGAAAGTTTTATCCTTATCACGCCACCCGTATATTACATTGGATTAGTTTAAATCTGATTCGAAGAGACTGCTGCAGGCACCAAAACCACTTAATTCTTGCAGGGTTACGTTCGTAGTGGGCTTGTTTATTTCTACACGGATACTATGTACATACATGTGTAATGTAGTTAATGGTTGAACTTACTGCCAATGCGGATGTGCAACGATCTTTAATGCTGGCGACTTGTATGTTATCGATGTAATCGATCGTGCGGGCTTGTTTTGAAGAAGCTCAATTACTCTTTGCAACGCCTGCTTTACAGATAACAAAAATAATATACTTAATATACATATTTTTATATATGTATGTAGATATACTTATGCAATTTTAGTGCCAAAAACGAATTTCTAGTTGTATACACTTAGAAAAAAATAAAATTAAAATTGTATGCTTAGATCAATGATAAATCAATAATTTGGGTCACAAAAGTATACGTAGTTTTCTCTATTTATAACCGATTAATTCTGAAAATTTTATAATTATAAAAGTAAAATTCAACCCTTGTCGGGCTGTTTTTTAGAACGTCATCTTTTTTTTTCTGAGTGTATTCTATGAACGTTAATGGGCTTCATTTATGGCGTAAATATTTTATTTATTTAGAGGGAATCAGTAAATTATTTAGCTTAAAAAATCAGGCAAACATACTTTTAATAAACCCTCATTAAATTCTAAGGCCTGATAAAGACGAAATTGATGCGGAGCTAATGGTTTTCAAAGTGTTTTACAAAATAATATTAATTTTTTCTTTAATTAGAAAGTTAACATTTTATTTCTATGAAAAACAGAACGGATGAGTTTGACTAAAATCCCAACGTATGAACTAGTTAGAAATTTTGTTCCCGGCGATTTCATATACGTACACGTACATTAGGGTGCATCACTCTCTATAAAAAAAATCTATGCTATTTTCCATCAAAAACATATAATATTAAGAGTTACGTGAGTTCGACTTATTTGAAAATACCGCCAAATTTAATTTTTTTTTTTGTAAATAAAGCTAGTTTTCATACAATTTTTTCCAAAAAATTACCTCAGATCTTAATAGACTTGCCTAAAAATTTTTAGTAGTTGTATCAGCTGAATGAAAATAATGAAATATTTTTCCGAAATATTTTGGCGGAAGTCTTAAAATAGAATACATTTTATAATATCAATGGAAAACCCCAACATTTTTTGGTTAGGCACCTTCATGTTCATATGTATACCATTTCCTCTTGAATTGCATGCTTACATATGTACATACACACATACAAACGCAATCTTTGCCGTTGTACTTCAAAGTGCACATCGGTCAACCACAAAAGGACTAAATATTTTGACTTTAAATGTCATTGCGCGCAACTGTCGCAATCACATTTCAATAGACTTTAACAGGATCAAAGTCTTGCCGCAGTGGCCCCTCCTGCTGATCTCTAACAGTACCGCCACCAAGTGGCCAAAATGGCTATGCTATGCACGCATGGCGCAGAGTCCTTGTAGCCAACTGTCAAAGAAATTTGTAAGTTATTGCACACACGGACACACACACACACACACACACACGCGCGTGCGGACGTAGCCACACAGTCGATCCGTTTTTCTTTGGTGTCCTTTTTTTAGTTTCTATTGTTATGGTTTATTAATCTAATTGCGTGAGACTAGCAAAGAACAACCAATACAAAAAAGGGCCGACAATCACAGTCAACATTGAAAAAAAAAATAAAATAAAAAAAATAACATTAAATAAAATACAAATTACAAATGGCCTAACAAGGCTAAAGGAAGCGGATGAAAGACGAAAATGAGGAGAAAAGGATCATCCCTATCAGCATTCTTCGACATAAATAGTTTTCACAGCACACTCTCACTCCCGCGGCTATGCCCTTCAAGGAGAAACACCGCCGACAAAAGAAACTCTTACATGCATACTTACATACATAGTATGCATGGTACATAGGCATCACTCACTGCATGTGCCGTCAGCCGGCGGTAAGCATGTTCAATGTGTGGTCTTCTAAGCGCTGGCCGTACAGCCGCCCATTCAGCACTCTTTATAAGTGTGAGCGCTCATGTATTATCCTTTTTGTTGTAAAATATTTCGACTTTGCTGCTCGTTTGGGTAACCAAATACACCGATTTGTATCGACCATTTACAACACAAAAGGACATGCAATGAACACGCAATATCCCATGCAACATGAGCCACATGCAATTATAATCGAAAAAAAATAAAAAAATAAAATAAAACAGAGCAGTGCAGAACAGAACAGCAGTGAGATAAGGAGCAGTAGAGAGCACTTGCGGTGAAATAATATGCCACACTAAGCATATTACCGAGATTGATGGTACTGATATGTAATGAAACTGAGAATCAGTAAAACGATGATGTATGTATGTATGTAGGTTTGTATATTTGGTTGAGCATTATTCTTTGAGTTCTCTTTTTTTTGTTGTTTTTTTTTTGCCTACCTCTTTGCCTTTTTACCTTTTCGCTGCTTAAGCTTAAATAGTTTATTTTGAAGGCGTGCCGCAAGGAGGTTTGCTTATATACTACCTTTCGAAATAAATAGGTACATACATAGGACATACATAGAACATCTTAAGTTAATTGGATAACGATCTGTTGGATTCGAATTAGGTAGAATCAATTACCATCTTAATGGTGGTAAAATTAAAGAAACAAAAACATGCATACAAATACATGCAAAAAAAAAAACAACTATTAGACGATAAAAGGGGAAGACGTTGCCACCGCTAGTTTTTGGTGCGTATTTAATGCAAAAATATGTAGCTAAATATGAAAAGATTTTGAGTCAGAGCTTTCGTAATTTGAAACAATTTTTTGCTTGCGATGCTATAAAATCTGGCTGAATATTTTCATCGAGTGATTCTAAGCGGCGTTTTCACCATCTCTGGTTAACACTATATGCACGCATCAGATCTGTTCTGCACTTTATCGGTGATTTTGTTACCGGCACTAATTTTTTTTTTGGCAAAATACTTTATCACTTCTAATATCTGCGATTCTGGGTATCCTAGTAGAACTATATATGTACATCAGAGCTTGTGGACGATTGCAAAAACTCTATTGAACCAATTAAGCACGTACAACGGGGTCCAGATGAGGGTTTTGATGACAACGAAAAGTCTGACGCTCTCACAAAGTCCAGTCAAAAGTATACACAGCAGAACTCTTAAATAGGAAGAAGGAGGATTCTAAAGTTGCTGCCCAATGTCTAACTTCCTCTAGAGAAGTCTCGAAACGTCCAATGAATCTTCAACAAGGGAACCTGAGGACTAACACAGACTATCTGACAGAACCCTGCAAGTTAAGGTACCATCTTAGCAAGAAGGGTCTCTCTGCATATACGATGTGTAGGTTCTGACGGGCTAATGGAGGACACCCCGCATACATACATACATAGTATGCGATGGCAATCGTCATAAGTCAAAGGTTCTTACACTTCGGGGAGCTGTTATCACCTTCGTCCAGAATTTGGAATGGACTTTTGCAGCGTACGCACAATAGACCTACACGAAAAAAAAATTAAATTAAATTAAATAAGTATATTTTCAAGCAAATACCACTTTCAATGCTTTGACCAAGAAGAGTTTGAAATCAGTTCCATAATAGATTTTATCAGAAGAAAGTTTTACGTAGACTTCGAAGTTCGAACTATAGGTTCGCTCTGACAGCCTCACCACTCAAATGCGACCTATGTATGGCTACAAATTAGGAAAATGTTGTGATATTTGATTTTTTGGTGTACATGTATGTATGTACATTAGTGGGAGCCTTATTTGTATGGAATTTTTTTTTTTACTAAAAACCAAGATTCTCCCTAAGTTCGTTTGGTCACGTGGCCTGAGAAAAATTTTCAAAACTACATACGCTAATTCATTAAATTTTATCTAATATAGGAAAAAACGCATAATTTAGTAAAAAACAACGGGGTAAAAGTGAAACCTTCGTTAAACTATATAGCTAGGAATGAGGCGAGTGCAGTGACAGAAGTGTAATGGGATATTTTTTATTTTTATTTTTTTTTTTTTCTACAAAGGGCACTTAGGTCACTCACGTAAACTGTAGTACGTTCCTACAAGGTGGTTTTTGTAGTATTTGCTTTTGGGTTTAAGGCTGTCAAAGCCAAAAGCATAAACAACCTTTTATGAAATCGCCATGAATTCACTCATTTTAGTTATCGGTTGGTTGGGAGAAATGTAAATTTCCACAATTATAACTGTCTTCTCATGGTCAAATCAGCTTTCTCAAGCTTATGATTCTACTGTGTACTTATTTAAGTCCGGACATTCAGAACGAAAACCTTCATTGCTAAAAAAAAATTATTAGATATTTTTTGAGATGAAATAATGGTTGTTTCAGGCACTGCACACCTTTCACTATGTGTACGATACGTCGCAGTCTTACATGATTCACAAACTCAAGTACTACGCGAAGATTTCATGGGCTTTCTTTCAAGCCATAATCTCGTCTTCTTCTTGTTAAGCGCAGTAACCGCCTACACGATTTTGGCCGACTCCAACATAGCACGCCAGCCGTTTCTCTTTTCTGCCAACTGGCGCCAATTGCAAATGTCAAGTGAGGGCAAGTCCTTCTCCACCTGGACTTTCCATCGCAGAGTAGGCCTTCCTCTATTACCAGAAATCTGGCATATGTCATATTACAGCAATGTGTAGAGCTTTATTTTCATATTAC